ATAACAAATTTGGTTCTTTGAAAGAATAAATAAAATTGACAGGCCTCTAGCCAACCTTATTAAAAGTAAGGAAAAAACTCAAATTCATGTAATAAGGAATGAAAAAGATGAAATCACAACAGACCCTGTGAAAATACAGAAAATCTCTTTTGAAAACTTCTACTCTCATAGGCTTGATTACACAGAAGAAATGGAGAGATTCCTAGAAATACATGAATTACCAAAGCTGGGTCAATAAGATGTAAAACTTCTGAATAACACAATTTCAATTAATGAAATTGAAAATGTAATTAAATCCCTACCAACAAAGAAGACCCCAGGTCTAGACAGATTCACTGTGTAATTCTACAAGAAATTCAAAGAAGATTTAATGCTGACATTCCTCAAACTCTTTGATGAAATTGAAAGGGGAATAATTCTCCCTAACTCATTCCTGGAAGCAAACATTACTCTAATACCAAAACCTTATACCAAACACCCAACCAAAAAAGAGAATTATAGGCCAATCTCCCCAATGAACATAGATGCAAAAATTCTCAATAAAATTTAGGCAAACAGAATGCACCAAATCATCAAGATTATTATACACCATGACCAAGTGGGGTTCATCCCAGGAATGCATTCCAGGAATGCAAGGAACAATGTGTATGTTCAACATACACAAATCAATAAATTAATCCACCATATCAATAGAGCCAAAAATAAGAACCACGTGATCATTCCTACACATACAAAAAAAAAACTTTGGTAAGGTCCAACAATTATTCATCATAAAAAAAAACCTTACAGAAAATGGGAATAGATGGTTTTTACCTCAATATGATAAAGGCTATCTATGACAAACCAACAGCCAGCGTCATATTAAATGGCCAGAAAATGAAAGCCTCTACCTTAAAATTAGGCACAAGACAAGGATGTCCCTTACCACCACTCCTATTCAACACAGTACTGGAAGTACTATCCAGAGCAATTGGACAAGAGAGAGAAATAAAAGGAATAAAGACAGGATAAGAGGAAGTTAAATTATCATTATTTGCAGGTGACATGATACTCTACACAGACGACCCCAAAACTCCATTGAAACACTCCTAGGTATAATAAATAAATTCAGTAAAGTAGATGGATACAAATTCAACACTCAAAAATCAATAGCATTCCTATACACTAACAACAAAACCACTGAGAGAAATAAGAGAAGCCATACCCTTTACAATATATATCAACAACAAAATGAAATACTTACGATCTAATCTGAAAAAAGAGACAAAAGATCTGTCCAGGGAAAACTATGATACCCTTAAAAAAGAAATTGAAGGGAATCTCAGAAAATTGAAAGACATCCCTTGTTCATGGATAGGAAGAACGAGCATTGTGAAAATGGCCATTCTCCCAAAAGTGTTATATAACTTTAATGTAATCCCAATCAAAATACCATTAGCATACCTCGCAGATCTAGAGAAATCACCCCTAAAATTCATCTGAAACCAGAAGAGACCCAGAATAGCAAAGGCAGTTCTAAGCAACAAAGGCAAGGCAGGAGGAACCACAATCCCTGACTTGAAGTTATAGTACAAAGCTACTGTAATAAAATCAGCATGGTATGGAATAAAAACAGATGTAAAGATCAATAGAATACATTAGAAGATACAATAACAAATACACTCAGCCACTTTTTCTTTGATAAGGGGGCCAAACATGTCCACTGGAAGAAAGATAGTTTCTTCAATGAATAGCGCTGGAAAAATTGGCTCTCCATAGGCCAAAAACTAAAACTAGAACCATGCCTGTCACAGTGTACTAAACTAACTAAATGCATGAAAGATCTAAAAATCTTAAGACAGAAACAGTAAGTTTGTTGGAAAACAAAGTAGGTAGAAATCTTGAATACATAGGGGTAGGTACAGAATTCATGAATAAGACTCAAATTGCATGTGAAATGCTTCACAGAATCAATAACTGGGATCACGTCCTATTAAAGAATTTTTACATGTCAAAAAAATATCCAGCATAGCCAAAAGAAAACCCACAAATTGGAAAAAAATCTTAGTGAACGGTCCCCCAGACAAAGAACTTCTGTCTAGAATATATAAAGAATTTAAAAAATCAGATGCCCAAATTCAAAGACCCATTCCAAAAATGGGCATCTGAGATGAACACACACTTCTCAGATGAAGAAATACAAGTGGCAAATAAATACATGAAAGAATTCAGCATCATTGATCATTAGAGAAATGCACATTAAAACAACACTGAGGTTTCATCTCACTCCAGAAAGAATGGCCAGGATAAACAAAACTACCAACAACAAAAGCTGGAGAGGCTGAAGGGAAAAAGGAACACTTCTGCACTGTTGGTGGGGATGTGCAACCACTATGGAGGTCAATCTGGAGATTCCTCAAAAAGCTGGGATTGGACATCCCATTTGACCCAGCTATCCCACTTGTGGGCATATTCCCAGAAGAACTGAAATCATCATGCCACAGTGATACATGTGCAGCCATGTTTATAGGCACAATTTGAAATAGTCAGATCTTGGAAAAACTTAAATGCCCATCAACTGAGGAATGGATAAAAAAGATGTGATATTTTTATACAAAGGAGTACTACTACGCTATAAAAAATGATCACATTGAGATATTTATAAGTAAATGGATGCAACTTGAGACCATACTCACAAGTGAAATAAATCAAACTCACATAGGATTGGAACAATTGTGAATATTATTGTATAGTTATCTGAGGAACTCTTGAAGATCGTTACATAAAATAACAACCCTAGTTATGCTCCTACCACCTTGTTTTGAAGGCCTATATTTTCAGTGTTCTAGGCTCTTTCTATTGTTGTCTATATGTCTTTTTTGTTTCAGGTTTTTCTAGTAATTTGTTTTGTTTTGTCTTGTTTTGCTTTTCCCTCTAATACAGAAAGGACAGGTATACATGCAGAAACTCATGCATGTGTAGAACTTCTAAAAAGTTCATGAGAGTTGATAATATAATGCATGATGAGATGAACAGCTACTCTGAAGAAATAGACACTAAGGTTACCAGTGCTGATTCCATAGCATCATGATGTGAAATTCAGCAATACTAGTATTCTTTGGTCAGAGTGATTTTAGCCTGTTTTGTTTTGCTTAATTTCAACATACATGAAAGTATGGACAGCTATTTTGAAGAGAGTAAGAGACGTTATGGCAGCCATTGTTGACTTCCCTATTGTCTGGTCTTAAAGACCTAAAATGCCTTCATCATCCTGTTCTGATCAGTTCTATACGATTATGTTTTGTATGCATTCATTGTATGTGGCGATATGGACAACTATTTGGAAGAAAACAAGAGAAAAAATGATAGACAGTGAAGATCTCCAGTTGTCTTGCTTTGCAATCTGTGTCTTTTATATTGTTATCTTATGATGTTTTGTTATGTTAAATTTTACCCTCTTTTTAAAAAATCAGCAAAATAGACCCCCCACAATAAAAGACTCAGTTTTTAAAAGGGCAACTGAAATGAGTCTACTTTTCAGAAGAAATACAAGTAGTCAATAAGTACATGAAAAATTGTTGAAAATCACTGATCATTAAAGCAATCCAAATTAAAAATTAACAGTAAGACTCCAGATTATTCCAGGAAGGATGGTTATCAAGAAATCAAAAACAGCAAATGCTGGAGAGGTTGTGGGAAAAAGAGACCATTTTACATGGTTGGTGGAATGTAAACTAGAATAACCACCATGGGAATCAGTATGGGGATCCCTCAAAAACTAAAATTAGAAATTCCACTTGTTCTAATTATTTTCTTTCCAGGCATCATCCCAAAACAGTTAAAGAAAATATATTACAGTGATACATGGTTATATGGTTTTTGATCAATTTTTCTTATACTTTTTCACATAATGAGTTCCCAAGTGTAAAGATATATCCAATCTATCAAAATCTATAATGGTTTCTGATTCTTAAGAGACTTTTTCCAAATGTAGAAGTGGAAGATTAGTTTCCTTGGTCTGATTCTCTGATGCCTTTTCTTCAGGGGAGCATATTTTTAACATAATATTCTTCCTAAGAAACCACAAAGTTTGGAAAAAGGGAAAGTAGAAAATTAAAATTTAGCCTGTCTCATTGATGACTTAATTTACATAGCTACTTCTTCCTCAGTGGACTGCAACAAAGAGGTTGAAAAATAATCTACCTTACCTTAAAACAAAGAGAAAAACATGAACCAACACCTTCACTTTATCTGTGTGTAGACTAAACTTATGTTCTAAATTTAAAAATATGTACTAAGTGATCTTTAATATTATAAATCTGTTCCCATATAAAGATATTTTATCTTACCATTTGTTATGGCTTGGGCCTACCTGTCCCCTCAAAGACCCATGCAGTCATAGAGCTTTTTCAGAGGTCACTGAATCTAGTTTGTGGTACTGGAATTAAGGGTGTGCCTGCTACATCAATTCACTGATTGGTTTGGCATCACCCTAATCCTAGTAGTCTGGATAAGATAAAAAGTGAAGACCCTATTCAGGTCTTCTGCTGCATTTGATGTCTTCTGGCAACATGCATGTTTGCCCCTCTGCCATGCAGCCCTACCTTGGGCCCAACAGATTACTGACTGAAATCTCTACAAATCATGAGCTAAATAAACCTTTCTTCATTTTACTTTGGGTGCTGGGTATTTTGCCTTATCAATGAGAAACTTAACTAAAATGTCACCCTTTAAACAGCGAATCCTTCATTAAAAAGTCCTTTGTTCTAAAGCTTACTAACTGGAGTATAGGTAGACTTTAAATTACTGAGAGACAAGGTCACCAGTCAGAGTGATTCAAATTTATACCACAAAAGTGTTGCGCATCCATGTGAACTACGTTTGTTAAATCCACTTCTAATATATTCTAATGTTTACTACACAGAGTGGATGAAGTACTTACTGATTTCTTACATTGAAATTATTGTTTGTACCCTAACACCAAAGTCTCAGTTGGGAAGGTATGAGTCTTTGCAGCTGGGTTGACTTTATGACCGTTCAATGTAGGCAATGGAGTTAGCTAGAGACTAGAAAGTACAATTCAATTCTTTTTTTTAAAATTTTATTTAAGGAGAAAAAAAAAGCAGAGAAAGGGCACAAGTTATACAGATTTACAGAAAAAAAATGAACAGTAGGAAATCACTAGTTAATGGACTACATATTGTCATCTTAGAAATAATTGTTCAAGTCACAAAATTAAAGCTTGTAAAGTGGACATTCCATCAATGATACTGCAAACAGTTCTGTTCAATGATCCAATAAAACTCTGTGATATCATTTTCTATCTTATACACTTAAATATACATGCAGTTATATAGTTTAGAGCACTTTCTTTTCCTCTCTTTTGTACAATGACTATTACACATTTTGGGTTTCATTGCTCCCACGGTTCTTACTACTTTTTTGGAAGAGAGTAAAACCAAATGTGACATAACAGAACAGAATCGGTCAAGTCAAAAGGGTGGACATAATAGATAATGTAAAAACATAATACAAGGTGATCAACAATGGTTACCATAATGCCTCCTGCTATCTCTAATAGAATTGCCTATATCGTTAGTTATAATACAATTGAACAAAACAGTAAAGAATAAAACCGACAAAACCAAAACATTGGAGACATTGGAGGTCTTCAAAAGTAGATAAAAGAGAATGGGCGTTATAATGAATCTCATTATCTTCACAGCTGATGCCTAAACTTTTGAACCTGACACTATCCAGCAAAACAGAATAGGGGAGCATCAGTTAAAAACCAGATGGTGAGAGTAATACAGGGCTTTAAATTGAGGTAATGGAAAGTCAAAGTGGGTTACTATAATATATCCTGCTATTTTTTTCCTTTAATTAAAAGGATAAAAATAAAAAAGTAAATAATGGAGTGGAGATTGAGATAAAAGAGGGCATAACAATGAAACAGCGCAGATCAAAACATAACCATTTAAGCAGAATAGTGTTTCACCACCAGATAATCCTGACCTAAAAGTAGTTACCATATTGTCTCTTTCCTTTCTAACAGGACTCAGGACTACATTGCTGAGGCTCTGGGAATGATCACCATTTGTTGTGCATCCAACAGTGGTCATCACTGTTCCACTGGCCCTAACATGAGCTGCTTAACAAAAGGGCTTGAATCTAGACTCCCTTTCTTCGTCATTTAAGAACATTGCACACATGGAAGCACTTTTGCCTTAAATCTAAAACTTAGCCATAAGTTACTATAGATTCTAAGAATAACTTGTTTATAACTGGTTAAAAGTTTTTTCTTTTGGAGGGGGTCTCAGGAATCAAACTCAGGGGTATATGCAGGCCGGCATTTGTGTCACTGAGCCACGTCCTTGGCATGACTGAAATATTTTCAAAAGTAAATATTAAATCATAAACTACTGATTCTAAAATGTGAGTCAGAAAAGTCATTTCATTTGGCTTATACTATATTATTAAAGAAAACAAAACAATGTTAAACTAGGCATATAAATTTACATTTTTACTTACCTGGTCCTGGCTGTTTTCACTGTCATCACGTCTTCTCAAATCTTCCTTTGATGTCACTTCTATGTTCAGTTCTTCTGAAAAATTTATATATTTATGTAAAATAAACTACTTAGAACAGATAAAAAGTGAGTTTTTATGAAATAGAAAAACTAATACAAATTTATTTTTATTTTCCAGTTAAGAATTAAATAATTGAATTAATCCTAATTTTTGGATATTTACATAGAAATACTTGTAATTATCCCCAAATTAACAAATTATTTGGAAAGATATTAGATATCACTATATTGAAGATATAGGGACCTCTTAGAGCTTCATCATGAATTTACTCCCTAAGCATAGATGGAATGTCAGAAATATTTCAAATACAACAGAAACATATAAATCCACTCTATGCATTATTCTCCCACACATCTTGGCTACTTTTAAACAGCTCAGCATGTTATTATTAAAGGTCTGTAAATTACTATTACCTTTACATGTTTATCAGTGAACACCCTTTTCTTTATGTCTGCAATGTCTTCATCCACTCTTCTGGCAACATTTTAAAAAATCTTTTAAGACTCAGTTTATAATGTGAATTATTTCTTGATTATGTTTACCTTCTCCACATAAAACAACTGCTTCTTTCTTTGGGGCTCCCTTTCATCAATGTTTCCACTGTATCTTTACCACACAAACAACAAACTTACTTCCTTATTAAACTTTTTGATCCTGTATTGCATGGGACAATCTTTTAAATCTTCTTTGTATACAAGTCTTCCTTCATCTTACTCAAAAACTATTTATGGAATTCTTGCTAAGTGCTAAGCACTGGGGTTTAGAGAGCATAAATAAAAGGTATCGGGAATGGCTTTTCTAGAGGTAATGATGAGCTTAGAATTAGAGTGAGGTTAGCCAGACACAAGGCAGGGAATTGTGGGAGTATGAAAGGTAGTAGCAAGAGAAAAAAATATTAAATGGGAATGATACTGATCTAAAAATAGAGGAATCACAATGGAAAATATCACTAGCTGTTTAGGAATGCCTGAGATCAATGAGGGCAGACAGATGAGAAGGCTGAACATACAGAAGTAGAAGTCAGATCATGCAAGCCTAACGGTAACTTTGAGATGTTTGCGCATCAGTGCTTTGAACAGTGGCTCATGGTCACATCTGTTCCAGAGATCAATCACTCTCAATAGTCAGGAGGATGAATATGATGGCCAAATGAATAAAGGGAGGGAGATGAATTCATAGAAGGAACCAGTGTCAAGTAAAGCTGATGCAGGCCTAAACCTCTTAAACAGTCCATAAATTCTATTTCCAGAAATATTCAGATATGAAATCATGAGTACCCGTTATAGAATGAATTTTTATTAAATAAATAAATGTATACAACTGCGTCCTTGGAGAACAACACTCTACTAATTATTTTTCAAAAGATATCATTTCACAAAAGAGTTGTGAAATGAACTACTTAGATTTCTTTAACTTGCTTGAGTCTACTCTGTAATTCTTACTTCACCTGTTGCGATGTGGAGGGAACACATTTAGTGTTTTGTGTAAAATGCCCTGCTTCTTGAGGTTACCACGTACATCAACACATAAGAGAAGGGCTGAAGGTGAATTTCAGAGGTAGAGTATGTGCTTAGCATGTGCAGGGATCTGAATTTATTTGAGATTAGTCTCCAGCAAAAAGGTTGGGGAGAGGAAGGCAAGGAGAGCAGGAGATGCAAAGAAGTCACATCTGTGGGGAAATAATTTTGGGTTTATAGCCTATACCCATTAATTTAGGAGATAACTAGTAGTCTATAAGATATGGTAAGGACATATACATTATGTTTCAAGATTTGTTATCAATGTAATCACATGATTAAGGGCACTAATTTAGCTGCTACATAAAGTAGAATACATATCAGGTGACACCAATGAATAGATTGTCCTACTAATTGAATTTAGTGATTTAATTTTTTAGAATGGTAAAGCAAAGAATGGAAGTTAATCTTTATTCACAGGAAAATGCAAGATATGAAATTCCACATAGTGCTAAGAAACCCTTCAGAGGATAACCTTCATATAATATTTACAGTTTGCAACTGTTCAAGTATAGTTTCATTGTAAAAAGTGCTACAAACACAAATCACATTTTAAAAAAGAGTTCTCAGTAGAGAAGCAGACAAACTTGTTCCAAACATAGGACACAAGAAAAATTGATGCATCCCTCAGCTGCATGCGTAGAAGATAAAGGTACCAGGAGCCAAATCCTAAATCTGGAAAGTGCAGCCTTCAGAGGTAGTTTCTGGCACAACATTTTGATCTTGCTCTACATACTTCTCAATCAAGTTTAATGAGACCTTATTCACAGACTCATTCTCACGGTCTCGTAGACCTTCAAGCTTGCCAAACGCCCGCATTCTTTGATCATTACACTAAGCTGCTCAGTTTTGCCTAGATTCTAGCAGCCTGAAAAATATTTGAAATGGCATCCAGAAGAACAAAAATAATTTTCCTATCTTTCGCAGTTATCAATGGTTCTATTTTACTAGACTGCACAAAGTATAAACCTGGCCAACTGCCCCATGGTTCATGTAGTTGGTCACGGCCCACACAGCTTTCTTCTGAGTCATAAAGTCTGCCTTAGGACACTGACAAGGAAAGGGACTAATCCATGATGGACAACTTGCTGTATCTGGTCCTGTTGGCCAACTGTGATGTTTGACTCTGTCCATGTAGCTTCCTTTTGAAGATTAGTTTTGGGGTGAATGAGCAGGCTGGGAAAAGCAGCAGATGATCCTGCATCTCTCACAATCTGAGTCTCTTCTTTTCCAGTGACATTATTCCCTATGGCTAGTAGCACGGGAGGCAGAACGGACAATTCACTTGATCCTAGAAGTTTCAGCAGATGGTGCACAACTCCTGTTTTTACAACTACTTCAGTGCGTTCATTTGGACCACTGGTAAGGTAAGAAATAAGATCACCGTCTACAGGAGATGAACCAAGAGAGAAAGAATTTGCTTAACAGTATCTAACAGCTATGCAGGATTCTCATTGCAGCAAAGGTATGAAAGTGTCCAGATAAGATTATGTAACCACCTTCTAATGATGACATACAAGGAACTTCAAGAAGAGCCAACAGTGGTTCAATTGTACCATGTTAGGTAACCAAGACTTGGAAAACTGAACCATCACCTGCAATATTTCAAGAGCACAGACAGACAGGTCACTGATGTGAGCATGGGGAAATGCCAAGACAGAAAAGAATGCTGAGATAACACCTCCATCCAGAACATCCTTGGTCTGTCCTGATGACCCAGAAGTAATATTAGTGAGTTCCCATGCAGACTCAAACTGAGTGAGACGAGTCAGTCCTGCCCAAGCAGGACACAAATTGTAGAATCAAACAGACCCAGATTATGTGATCTATGGGAGGCTGTTTTCCTGAGAAAGCAGCTGCCTGGCAGCTTGAGTAGTTGGAGCTCACTTTCCAGATTATAGCTTTTCATATCTTTGTGCAGCTATAAACATAGGTGTACATATATCACTGTGGTATGATGCTTTCAGTTCTGGTAATATGCCTAGAAGTGGAATAGCTGGAACATATGGGACTTCCAATGCCAGCTTTCTGAGAAATCTCCACACTCACCTCCACAAAGGTTATACCAGTCTACACTCCCACCAACATACACAGAGCATCTTGATGGACCCTATCTCCTGATATACTCTGCCTGTGTTTCTTTTTGTTAGTGAATCAAGGCCATATATGTTAGACATTATAGCCAACCTTCTCTGCCTCATTTCTGCTATGCTATTTTTCTGCTATTGGTTGTCTACTTTTCTCCTTCATTCCATTGTCTGCCCCATTCATTGAGGCCTCTCTGCCACTGTTCCTGAAATCCTGGGTTTTTTTATGTCCTTCAGTATTTTTTGTAGGGTTGGGTTGGTGGTCACGAACTCTCCCAGTTCCTCTTTGTCATAGAAGCATCTTGTTTCTCCATTAATTTTGAGAGACAGTTTTGTAGGCAATATCAGTCAGGGTTGGAGGTTATTTTCTTTCAAGGCTTGGAATAGTTCACTCCAAGCTCTTTTTGATTTGATGGTTTGTGTCAAGAAGTCTGTCATGATTTTGATGGGTTTTCCTTTAGAGGTGATCGTTTCTTTTCTCTGACAGCTTTCAATGTTCTGTTCTTGTGAGAAATTTCTGGGATCTTGATGATTATATGTCTGTGTGTAACTCTATTTTGGTTGTAGATTGCTGGAGTTCTGCATGCCTCATACATCTGAATATCATTTCCTTTTCCTATGCTTGGGAAGTTTTTCTTAATTATTTATTTGAATAGTCTGTATTTGCTTTGTGTTTACCCCGCTTCTTCATTCACATTTTTTATTCTTTTTTTAAATTTTTAAAAAATTTTATTTAGGGAGAAAAAAAAAGCAGAGAAAGGGTACAAGTTATACAGATTTACAGAAAAAAATAAACAGTAGGAAATCACTAGTTAATAGATTACATATTGTCATCTTAGAAATAATTGTTCAAGTCACAAAATTAAAGCTTGTAAAGTGGACATTCCAACAGTGAGACTGCAAACAGTTCTGTTCAATGATCCAACAAAACTTAGTGATATCATTATCTATCTTATACCTTTAAATATACATGCAGTTATATCATTTAGAGCACTTTCTTTTCCTCTCTTTTGTACAATGACAATTACACATTTTGGGTTTTGTTGCTCCCACAGTTCTTATTACCTTTTTTTGGAAGGGAGTAGAACCAAATGTGACATAACAGAACAAGTCAATCAAATCAAAAGGGTGGACATAATAGATAATGTAAAAGCATAATACAAGGTGATCAACAATGATTACCATAATGTCTCCCACTATCTCTAGTAGAATTGCCTATATCATCAGTTATAATAAAATTGAACAAAACAGTAAAGAACAAAACTGACAGAACCAAAACATTGGAGACATTATAGGTGTTCAAAAGTAGATAATAGTCAATGAGAATGGGTGTCATAATGAATCTCACTATCTTCACAGCTGTTGCCTAAACTTTCGAACCTGGTACTATCAAGCAAAACAGAATAGGGG